CTACCCTTACACTCCCAACATCAAATATTAACAGGAAAAGAGACCTGCACATAGAATGAAATGTCTGCTTTAGTGTGTCATTAATTATCTTGTGTTAGATTGCATTGCTTCAGATGTCAGCTCTATAATTTCTATGATTTAATATAGCTTAATTGCTTAATTTTCCAGCTCAATATATATCCTCCAAACACCGGCTTCTCGGGCATTATAACTTTTATACAACAGGTTACCAACATATTCAAATAATTATTGACATAATTTCATTAGAAGTGTTATTTTGAGAATTTATTCATACTATTTCAGTCCTGACACAAATCTAGGGTTGCTACCCAAGCCGGCTGGTCGTTCGTTTTATCAGTTCGGTTGCTAGAGACGCGACCCAGTCGTTCAGGCTTTTTGTTCTGTATGTATGGTTCGTTCGTTCTAAATGTTCCATTGCCATACTGGCTGGCAACTGTCTTATTCCATGCTTGCTAGCTAGCCAACTACGGCTAATTTATAGTCACGTCAAAAAGTGCAGCCAGAATAACAGCAAGGCAGCTGCATTTGCATTTGTTTAAGGTGTTTTCTAGTGACATTTATTTGGATACACCCATAACAATGAGCAAATGCGGCGCGATTTCGCCTGGCATAGAAAATGTGCTCACTCGTCAGGACACTGTTGTTCAGAGGAGCTAGCCAACAACACAGCTAACACAATCACTTCAAACTGAAGCTGGAAAGACTGCAAACTAGCTGCACTTAATTTTATTTTACTTTTTTTCAGTTTACTTTTCTTTGTATATATCCATAAAAATGATGCCAGCTGATTCATGATTTCGACTGGCTGAGAAACTCTGCCTGCCTGCCTGTCTCGTCCCGACTCCCGACACATTCATTACTATGGGACAGCTGGAAATCGAATTTGAATATTGAAACAATGTTGCAAATGTCGGAGAGACAGACAGCAAGGTTTATACAAATCTCCGCTGTTGAAAACTAAATGTTAGTCTAAAAGAAATGTGAGATCATGTCTAGATGCTTTTTATAGTGGAGATCAAGTTTATAAAGTGCCTGGCTGGGCTGATGAGACAGTGGATTGCGCAGTCAGATGGAACAGAGTAAATAGGCATTTTAACGTCATATAGTTAGTCCGTGGTAATTTGTGGAATAGACACCGGCTGGAATGCGCTTTTAACCAATCAGCATTCAGGATTAGACCCACCCGTTGTATAATAGCCTACAAAGAATCCAGGGCCCATATTCAGAATGCTCCTCAGAGTGGAAGTGCTGAGCTAGTATCAGTTTTGACTTTTCGATCATAATTAATACGATTGTGTGGACAGATCCTACATCAGCACTCATACTCTGAGACACTTAGTACGGGCCCTGACCATGCCTCTAGCTTGGGGACCCCCATGCCTTTGTAACATCTCTAATTTTGCTTTCTCTCATCCCACACCGCAGGAGTCAAACAGCTCAGAGGAGTCAGATTGCGATGATGAACTCCCCAAAACTAGCATGGAGGTAGTAGTACACACTGATTTGTCATCATGCATGCTGCCCAGTTGAGTTTCTGTAGCGAACCCAGTGAGCACAAGAAGTTTAAATACATTTTTTCTACCAAAAATACGTGTTTTTTTGTACATCTTTTCAACGTATTTTGCTCGTAGGGAAGTCTGCATATTAGCAAGAGGAAACTACACAGAGCATTTTAGGGGTTTCCACTGTGGTCAGGAGCATTCTCCCAAAACATCAGGTTCCACATATTGTTCCACTAGCTACAGAGGTTTCATCCATAGAAATATAATCACTAGAATAGACATTCCCATTCAAGTCAATGCTTATGCAATGGGTGGACCAGCGGCCATTTTGAAAATGTACCCATAGAAGTATGGTTTTATCCTGAGCAGGAACCAAAAGGAACCAATTTTTGTTCCTGCTCCTTTTCTGATAGCATTTTCTGGATCCAGCCTCAATGAGGCCATGGGTGGAGTTTGTAAATGCATTAGCCACGTTTAAATGCACTGATTGGTGCACAATATTAATACATCAGATAAGCACCTGGGGCGTAATCATTAGTCAAACGTATTGTAACCGAAACCGTTTACTCCAAATGGAAGATGTTTTTAAATGAAAACAATAATTTCTATTGAACAAAGTCAGGTAGGTCCCTCAAGGTTTTGTTCCTAGTGACTCTGTTTCGTTCCTACTGAATACACCCCTGAAACAGATGAGCAAAAGACAAAACATTTCAAATGCATATTTTTGGTTGAAAAGACGTTGAAAATAAACTCAGCAAAAAAAGAAACGTCCCTTTTTCAGGACCCTGTCCTTCAAAGATAATTAGTAAAAATTCAAATAACTTCACAGATCGTCATTGTAAAGGGTTTAAACACTGTTTCCCATGCTTGTTCAACGAACCATAAACAATTGATGAACAAGCACCTGTGGAACAGTCGTTAAGACACTAACAGCTTACAGACGGTAGGCAATTAAGGTCACAGTTATGAAAACTTAGGACACTAAAGAGGCCTTTCTACTGACTCTGAAAAACACCAAAAGAAAGATGCCCAGGGTCCCTGCTCATCTGCGTGATCGTGCCTTAGGCATGCTGCAAGGAGGCATGAGGACTGCAGATGTGGCCAGGGCAATAAATTGCAATGTCTGTACTGTGAGACGCCTAAGACAGCGCTACAGGGAGACCACGTGTAACAACACCTGCACAGGATCGGTACAGCCGAACATCACACCTGTGGGACAGGTACAGGATGGCAACAACAAATGCCCGAGTTACACCAGGAACGCACAATCCCTCCATCAGTGCTCAGACTGTCCGCAATAGGCTGAGAGAGGCTGGACTGAGGGCTTGTAGGCCTGTTGTAAGGCAGGTCCTCACCAGACATCACCGGCAACAACGTCGCCTATGGGCACAAACCCACCGTCGCTGGACCAGACAGGACTGGCAAAAAGTGCTCTTCACTGACGAGTCGCGGTTTTGTCTCACCAGGGGTGATGGTCGGATTCATGTTTATCGTCGAAGGAATGAGCGTTACACCGAGGCCTGTACTCTGGAGCGGGATCGATTTGGAGGTGGAGGGTCCGTCATGGTCTGGGGCAGTGTGTCACAGCATCATCGGACTGAGCTTGTTGTCATTGCAGGCAATCTCAACACTGTGCGTTACAGGGGAGACATCCTCCTCCCTCATGTGGTACCCTTCCTGCAGGCTCATCCTGACATGACCCTCCAGCATGACAATGCCACCAGCCATACTGCTCGTTCTGTGCGTGATTTCCTGCAAGACAGGAATGTCAGTGTTCTGCCATGGCCAGCGAAGAGCCCGGATCTCAATCCCATTGAGCATGTCTGGGACCTGTTGGATCGGAGGGTGAGGGCCATTCCCCCCAGAAATGTCCGGGAACTTGCAGGTGCCTTGATAGAAGAGTGGGGTAACATCTCACAGCAAGAACTGGCAAATCTGGTGCAGTCCATGAGGAGGAGATGCACTGCAGTACTTAATGCAGCTGGTGGCCACACCAGATACTGACTGTTACTTTTGATTTTGACCCCCCCCCCCCCCCCTTTGTTCAGGGACACATTATTCAATTTCTGTTAGTCACATGTCTGTGGAACTTGTTCCATTTATGTCTCAGTTGTTGAATCTTGTTATGTTCATACAAATATTTACACATGATAAGTTTGCTGAAAATAAACGCAGTTGACAGTGAGAGGACGTTTCTTTTTTTGCTGAGTTTATGTATTTTCAGCGTCTTGTGCTCACCTGCATCATTGTAACTCCTCTACAGCATATGGACCCCAGGAACAGTAGCTGCTGTATGAGCAAGCAACAACTAACGGGGATCCTAATAAACTAAACAAGCCTGCTCCCCTCCAAAGCTTGCTCGGTCCTGTGTGGCTCAGTTGGTAGACCATGCCGTGTGCAATTCCTTCAGGGGCAACCCATATTAAAATAGATGCACGCACAACCAACAGTAAGTCGCTAAATAGTCTGCTAAATGGCACATATTATTATTGAAAATGCTCTAGTTCCTCCTCAGTTCCAGTTCCTGGTCATTGTATTGGAAAAGCATCCTCCTGTTGCCTTTAACAGACTTGACCTATCAGCAGGTGTGTTGTAAAGATGTCCACCCTTTTTGATTTTCAATACTATATAATTGTTCCTATTACATGTCATTATTTCCCTAAACCAGTCTTAGCGATATTAAAAAGGTGCTCCATGTGCCACTTGTCTGATCTCAAGCATCCACACGTTCTCTTCTTGTGTAGCAGTGTTGTTTCCATGGAGCATTACTGCAACCTAGTGTTCCTACCTTGGAATAGGTTCATGAACGTTAAAAAAGCATCTCACAACCCCCCTGAAGCATGTTACTACTCCTGACCTATCTTCTTTTGGATCCTCTGATGCTTGCATCCCATGCGTTTTTTTTATTGAGAACAATATTTTATTACGCATTTTGTTCAAATGGGTTTGAAGATTTTTAAAGGATGGTATGCCTAAATGTCACAAATAAATGTGTGGTACGATGCCCTAGTACAGTAACCTATATTGCAAATAATGTTTAAATGGTAGTACACAACTGTAACACAGAACTCTCTGAGGTATGTATGTATTCACTTTTCATATTTTTCATTTTGAATAAGCAAAACAGAGCATAATTCAAACAAGAACATTAGTTCATTCATATTGCCTAACAGCCATACCTTTTCTTTGCAGATAATGAACCCCAATTTTATACAAGAAGGTAAGATGAACTATCAGAGCATAAGCACCTGCATTTAAATGCTTAAGAGTGAAATTAATCACTTAATTACTGATATGTCATGGATCCTGAGTCTGGTTGCGCCTCAAATGGCACCCTATTCCCTAATAGTGCACTACTTTTGGCCAGAGCTCTATGGGCCCTGGTCAAAAGTAGTGCACTATATAGTGTGCCATTTAGGACGTAGTGTATATTTGCTGTTAGAATAATGTGGTGTGGTTAGCTGACACTGTGTGTGAATGTATTTAGTGGCTCCAGAATTCCTGATACCACTAGCTGATGTGACGTGTGCATTTGGGGAGACGGTGGTCTTGTGCTGTAAAGTGTGTGGACGTCCCAAACCCAACATCACTCTGAAAGGACCTGATCAGAGCCCGGTTGTCAACAACAGTCGGTTCACTATCAACATTAGGTACATGGACTATAAGGTTTCTAGTTAGAAGTTCTAGATCAGATCTCCAACCCTGTTCCTGGAGAGCAAACCTCCTGTACAGCCTGGTCTCATAGACTAGACGTAACATAGTAAACATAAATCCGGGATATTTAAATTAGTATGATACTGTATGTTACGTTTGGTATGGTTACATGAGACGAGGTTACTTAAGGGAAAAACTAAAAGAGGGTGGTTGGTCGGGGGTATAACGCAAATGTCCAGCAACCCAAAGGTTGCGCGTTCAAAACTCATCATGGACAACTTTAGCATTTTAGCTAATTAGCAACTTTGTAACTACTTGCTACTTTGCAAATACTTAGCATGTTAGCTAACCCTTCCCCAACCCTAACTTAACCATTTAACCTAACTCCTAACCATAACCCTTTAACCTAACCTTAACCCCTAACCCCTAGACTAGCTAATGTTAGCTACCTAGCTAACATTAGCATTAGCGGCTTAGCTAATGGTAGCCACTACAAATTGGAATTCGTAACATATCATACGTATTGCAATTTCTTAACATATTGTAGGAAATGGATGATGGACTTCCACAAATGAATATACAGTTCCTTCAGAAAGTATTCACACTCCTTTACTTTTTCCACATTTTGTTGTGCTACAGCCTGAATTTAAAAATTATTAAATTGAGATTATTTGGTCACTGGCCTACACACAATACCCCATAATGTCAAAAGGGGAATTATGTTTTTTGACATTTTTACAAACTAATTAAAAATGAAAAGCTGAAATGTCTTGAATCAATAAGTATTCAATCCCTTTGCTATGGCAAGCCTAAATAAATTCAGGAGTAAAAATGTGCTTAAGTCACATAATAAGTTGTATGGACTCCTTCTGTGTGCAGTAATGGCGTTTAACATGATTTTGGAATGACTACCTCATGTCTGTACAATTATCTGTAAGGTCCCTCAGTTGAGCAGTGAATTTCAAACACAGATTTAACCACAAAGACCAGGGAGGTATTCCAATGCCTCACAAAGAAGGACACCTATTGGTAGATGGTAGACTTTTTCCACGTTTTGTTACAGCCTTATTCTAAAATGGATAAAATAAATAATAAATCATCATCAATCTACACGCAATACCCCATAATGACAAAGCGAAAACAGGTAAAAAAATATTTTTAAAAAAACAACATATATATATATATATATATATATATATATATATATATATATTTACACACATTATTTACATAAGTATTCAGACCCTTTGCTATGAGACTCGAAATTGTGCTCAGGTGCATCCTGTTTCCATTGACCATCCTTGAGATGTTTCTACAAGTTGATTGGAGTCCACCTTTGGTAAATTCAATTGATTGGACATGATTTGGAAAGGCACACACCTGTCTATATAAGGTCCCACAGTTGACAGTGCATGTCAGAGCAAAAACCAAGCCATGAGGTCAAAGAAATTGCCCCGTAGAGCTCCGAGACAGGATTGTGTCGAGGCACAGATCTGGGGAAGGGTACCAAAAACATTCTGCAGCATTGAAGGTGGCCTCCATCATTCTTAAATGGAAGAAGTTTGGAACCACCAAGACTCTTCCTAGAGCTGGCCGCCCGGCCAAACTGAGAAATTGGGGGAGAAGGGCCTTGGACAGGGAGGTGACCAAGAACCCGATGGTTACTCTGACAGAGTTCCTCTGTGGAGATGGTAGAACCGCTAAGGACTAGGGAGTATTTCAAGATAATAAAGAAACGGTATGGAGCTAAGCACAGGCAAAATCCTAGAGGAAAATCGGGTTCAGTCTGCTTTCTACCAGGCACTGGGAGATTAATTCACATTTCAGCAGGACAACAACCTTAAAAAAGGCCAAATCTACACTGGAGTTGCTTACCAAGGACAGTGAATGTTCCTGAGTGGCCGACTTACAGTTTTGACTTAAATCTACATGAAAATCTATAGCAAGACCTGAAAATGGTTGTCTAGCAATGATCAACAACCAATATGACAGAGCTTGAATAATTTTGAAAAGAATAATGGGCAAATGTTGCACTATCCATGAGTGGAAAGCTTTTAGAGACTTACCCAGAAAGACTCACAGCTGCAGTCGTTGCCAAAGGTGCTTCTACAAAGTATTGACTCAGGGGTGTGAATACTTATGTAAATTAGATATTTATGTTTTTCATTTTCAATAAATTAGCAAACATTTCTAAAAATATTCTCACTTTGTCATTATGGGGTATTGTGTGTAGATGGTTGAGAGAGAAATCTATTTAATCCATTTTAAATTCAGACAGTAACAGAACAAAATGTGGAATAAGTCAAGGGTTAAATACTTTTTGAAGGCACTGTATACCATGCGAAATATAACATATCGTACTAAATGCAGTGTCTCAGATTTACGTACAGAATCTTACGAAATGCTCTGAGACCAGGTTGTCCTCTAGGTTTTCACTCCAACCCTAATCTATGGCACCGGATTCTAATAATTAGCTGGCTGATAAACTGAGAGGTTAGTTGGAGCGAAACCCTACAGGAGGATAGCTCTCCTTATTTTTTTATTTTTTTATTTTTACAATTCGCGATTGTTTATACCAATCTAAAACTATGCAGAAATCTGCAATTCCTTAGGCTAGAAACAAGCAGTAAAATCCCAGAGGAAGTTGCGACTGATGCACAAGAATGGTTTGTCTCTATGACATTCAGAAGCTGAGCTACGACCATCTAAAGTCGAGGAGTCATAGAAATTGGACTTTGCTTGGAAAGAGATCTTATACAATGTGTGACTGTCACTATCAATTGATCAAATCACTTTCTGTAAAAGAGAATATGTATAATTAAATTGAGGGTTCATATAAATTATCATAATATAACATATTTGGTAGCGGAATAACATTTGGGGAAATCGGGTCTAGACTTTATTTTCCTTATCCATTATTATTATTATTATTATTATTATTATTATTATTATTATTATTATCATCATCATTAAATAGCCTATCTAAAAGATGCCATGAGTCTTGTTAAACTATGTAAAATTGCAGGAAAGGAGCTTCAACACAACAACATTTTCATAGGCCCTCCAGCTTGATATTTTTCAAATGTGAAAAAGGGGGCCGTGGGGAAAAAAGGTTTGGAACCTCTGGTCTAGATGATCACAGGAATTTAGCGACATCCAGTGGAGCCTGATGGAGGAAGGATGGCTCATAGTAATGGCTAAAATAAAATAAGTGGAATGTGTCCAACTTGTGTAAACCATATGTTTCATACTGTTCCATTCATTCCATTCCAGCTAGTACTATGAGCCTGTCCTCCGATTTTTTTGTCCACTGGCCACCAATGTTGGTATCCAATTTCTAATTTAACTTGTGATGAATGAATGGAAGTGCATAGCCAAATGTTGCAGAATGGAGGTTACTAATGTTGCCTCAAAACTTATAAGAGCAGGAAGTGAGATGAAAGAAACATCTCTGGTACCCTACTATGTAGGGAAAAGTTCCACTCTATTGTCTGAGATAATTGCTTAAAGGTAAGGCCTAATCCCATTGTAAATCCATTGAGTAGACTAAACATGTTGTTGGGGGACTAACATGAATTTAGATGGAGCTCAGTAAAAGAAGCAATCAGCTAAAGCATATACCAACGTTCTGTCCCAAATGGCACCCAATTCCCTATATTGTGCACTACTTTTGACCAGGACTCATAGGGCTACGGTCAAAAGTAGTACACTATGTAAGGAATAGAGTGCCATTTGGGATGTAACTCAAATGTAACAAAGGTCAAGCTCTATTTTCAGCAACCAATCAAACCTGGCCTCTTCTTCTCTGTCCTTGTTTCCAGGGATACGGGTGACATTCTGCTGAAGATCTGTAACCTGATGCCCCAGGACACTGGCATCTACACCTGTGTGGCTGTCAACGACCATGGCACTGCCTCCTCCTCCGCCTCTATCAAAGTACAAGGTAAGAGGAAGGGAAGAGAGGGGGGTTATGGATGATGGATGGAGGGAGGAATGAGGTAGGAGGTGAGGTTCTCTATGGCCATGGAGACTACTGATGTTGGGCTGATGTCTGTTTTCAGGTATACCAACAGCACCTGCGAGGCCCGTGGCCCAGGAGGCCAGTAGCAATGCAGTGATCGTCCACTGGCTCCCCCCTGCCAGCTCAGCTAGCTGTGCCGTGTCCAGCTACACAGTAGAGTACAGGCAGGAAGGTACAGTAGGCCCATCTCTTCTGGCTCTGGGGTGAAGTTGCTCCTAGGTACAGATCTAGGATCAGTCTCCCCTCCCCAATTCTAACCTTAACCATTAGTAGGGGAAATGCAAAACTGACCCAAGATCACCATCTAGGCCCAACTTCACCTACAATTCACAAGCTACAGACAGTCACCTGAAATCTTTGAACTACGACTTGTTGACCTAACCTCTTCGTTCTCTTCCCTGCAGACTCCCTAGTGTGGCAGCAGTCAGTGGTCTCTACGGTAGATGTGTGTGTTAAGATTGAAGATCTCATTCCTGGGGGGCACTACCAGTTCCGGGTCAATGCCAGTAACCCCTGGGGGGTCAGTCCGCCCAGCGAGCCCTCCAACATGGTGACCCTGCCCAGCGGGAGTGAGTCAAACCCTCCACCTTCACACTACAAGCAGGGAGGGAGTTACGCAAATACCTAGACTATACATACGTCCTAAATGGCACCCTATTCCCTATATAGTGCAATACTTTTGACCAGGGCACAGGTGCCTGCTCCTAGAATGCATACTAAATGGCACCCTATTCCCTATACAGTGCACTGCTTTTGACCAGAGCCCTATGGTGAAATGTAGGGCACCATGAAGGGAATAGGGTGCCATGAATAGGGTGCCCATGAAGGGAATAGGGCGCAGTGGTCTAAGGCACTGCATCGCAGTGCTAACTGTGCCACTAGAGATCCTGGTTCGAATCCAGGCTCTGTCGCAGCCGGCCGCGACCGGGAGACTCATGGGCGGCGCACAATTGGCCCAGCGTCGTCCAGGGTAGGGGAGGGAATGGCCGGCAGGGATGTAGCTCAGTTGATAGAGCATGGCGTTTGCAACGCCAGGGTTGTGGGTTTGATTCCCACGGGGGGGCAGTATAAAAAAATATATATATGTATTCACTAACTGTAAGTCGCTCTGGATAAGAGCGTCTGCTAAATGACTAAAATGTATGTAAATGTAATTTTGGAAGCAGTGTCTCACGATTGGTATTTCAGCCTCATTACGAAAACCAGTCATGGCAGATCGAGAGGTCCTTGAGGAAACGTTACTGTATGAATGTAGCTACAGTGTAAATATTGACTAATAAATATTCAATTTGTTTTCTCTCTATTCTAAGCTTCCACAAATGATGGAATGGGCATTCAGTGGAAAGACAACTTTGAATCGAGTTTCACAGAAATGTGTGAGATCGGACGGTAAAGTGCACACCTCCACTGTTTTGAAGCAGCCTACCATAATAATTTGTTGTATTTTATTGGGATTTTTCATACAAAAGTTATACAAATTCTCATAACAAAGGCTCATGGCAGCAGTTTGATAGGTACAACAATGACATTTTACAACTACTCTCCTACTCCTCTCCCTTCTCCAGGGGCCGATTCTCTGTAGTGAGAAAGTGTCTGAACAAGGCCAGTAAGAAGGAGGTGGCTGTGAAGTACGTCACTAAGAAGATGCAAAGGAAGGAGCAAGTGGCCCACGAGGCAGACATCTTGAGCCACGTCCAGCATCCTCAGCTGGTGGCTCTGACTGACACCTATGAGTCCCCCACCTCCCTCATGTTGGTCTTCGAGCTGTAAGGAACTTTCTGCTGTGGACTTCAGCTGTTTCTCAATTAATCTTTCCTTGATTTCTTGCATCCTCTCTCCTCGCCTCCTTCTCAAAATGCATTGGAGAAGAAGGTCCGGGTGGAGGGACTTTGGACCTTATCCTCCATTACGATTGAGGAGGCGGCAAGGAGAGAGGAATCGAGAAAATATTAATTGAGAAAGAGGGATGGATTATTGTATAGCCTGGTGGTTCAGTCTGTTTTTGCTTTTAGCCAATTCCTCACTGTGTTGCTAACTGCCAAGCCTAACATGTGAAGCTTATGGCATGACAATCATAGAAGAGTTGAACCCAGTAAAGGACCCAGGCTAGGGATTATAGTTTACACTTGGCTTTGTTAGTGTAAATTAACTTAGTCATTGATTGCATCCTAAATGGCACCCTATTCCCTACATAGTGCACTGATTTTGACCACAGACCTATGTAGTAGTGCATAATACAGGGAATAGGGTGCCATTTGGGACGCACAATAGTGTCATAGTGTGGTCTGAATAAATGTTTGTCTCGTGTTGTTTCCAGGCTGGAGGGTGGGAGGCTGCTGGACTACCTGGTGGCCCATGATGAGCTGATGGAGGAGAAGGTGGCCTTCTTTGTGAAGGACACCTTAGAGGCTTTGCAGCACCTCCACACCTGCAGAGTGGCCCATCTAGACCTAAAGGTGAACACAAAGCACACATCGGTACCAATGCTAAGGACATATGTTATTAAAGTGACATTACACTTTAGTTTGACAGATGTTTTCAGACCTCTAAAGTAGTCTGTCAAGATGAAACCACGTCCCACGACACCCCAAATTAATGGAAATCAGTCAACTTTTGTGGTCTAAAAGAATCTGACAAACTTTCAGTGAAATGTCACTTTAACTTGATCTTGGTCAAACCCATTAACAAACCCATTCCTCTCGTGTGTCTTTAGCCTGAGAACCTCCTGGTGGATCTCCACGTGCCTGTTCCTTCTATCAAGCTCATAGATTTAGGAGATGCGGTCCAGGTGTCTGGTCACCGTTATGTCCACCTTCTCCTGGGTAACCCCGAGTTTGCGGCTCCCGAGCTGATCCAGGGCACAGCAGTGTCCCTGAGCACTGACGTGTGGAGCGCCGGGGTTCTGGCCTACGTCATGCTGAGCGGCGTCTCGCCCTTCCTGGACGAGAGCCTGGAGGAGACGTGCGTCAACATCTGCAAGCTGGACTTCTGCTTCCCCGAGGACTACTTCCAGGGAGTGAGCCAGGCAGCCAGGGACTTCATCAGCTCTACCCTGCAGCAGGACCCCCGGAAGAGGCCCAGTGCCACCATCTGTCTTCAACACCCCTGGGTGAGTGCCCACAGTGGAGACTACTCCAAGACCCCACTGGACACGGGCCGCCTGGCCTCCTTCATCGACAGACGGAGACAGCTACACGACGTGCGCCCTGTCACCAACATCAAGGGACTATTGACCAGCAGCATGGGACACACCCTATGATCACCCTGTGAACAGCCAATTAACACCCTATGAACACAACACAAAAAGGTGAAACGAAAACACTCTATAAGTAGTACTACAGGGGTGTATTCACTAGGCACTCCACAGAACCAAACAGAAGTCAACTGAACCAAACGGGGAGGGACCTACCTGAATTTGTCCAATAGAAACTAGTTTTCATTGCTAAACAAAACTGTTTGCAACTGTTTGGACTAATGATTACACCCCAGGGCTCTGCCATTGAAACATGATTTCCCATCAAAACGTAACTCTGGATAGTGGATAATACTGTAACTTGTCAACAAACATGTTGTGTGAATATCATTACTGTGTTCAAGATGCCAGAAGACAAGACATTGGCATTCGATTCATTGAGATGTTTCAGAGCTGTAGTATGAAGCCCTACCACTCTTGTGGTGTCCATGTATTGTAAATGCCAACATCTTAATATATCATCCTTGGAAATGATTAACTAACTATCAGAGAAAGATCTATGAATGGTAGTATAACTGTTGAATGTAATTTATTGTAGAATGTGGTCAACCTTTGAAGAAGTGCTATTGTATGTGAAGAAATATTCAGTGTTGATCCCTTAGAGTGTAGATATAGTATAACGGCTATTTTTCCAATGGTACGGTTTGAGATATGAATTAAAGAATTTAACACGATTGACTTGTCACATCACTTTATACATCATTCTTGTATGTCAGTACACGTCTGTCACCTTAATGATAATTTGGAATGTGTTTTGTTGGTTCACTTAGGTTTATTTAAGAGACCATTCATAGGTCTCAGGTTTAGTTGTAATTGAATGTTCAAAGCTGGAAGGACAGGCTGCACATTTCAATCCAAATAGGGCAGTGCACAAACAAAGTGTTGCATATTTCTGTTCTCAGACCCAAATTGTTTACAACAAATCTGAAGTCATCACATTAGATGAGTGAGTATCTCATCGCTTAGGTAGTTGAGGTTAGTCAGACTTGCACTTTCGTGATGAGGTAGCCCTGCCTGCGACTTCAAAATCAGTGTCACCCTCGGCCCAAGAGGAATTTTGGTCTAATGGTTAAACGGCCAGTGCAGTCAAAAACTTGACTTTCCTGTGTTCTATATTTCCATGCTATGAGGTTTGAATAATACTGTGAAATTGTGAAAATGATGATGATGCCCTTTTAGTGTAAGAGCTGTTTGAAAAGACCGCCTGAAATGTCAGCCTGTTTTGGTGGGATGGAGTTTTGGCCTACCTGGTGAGAATATCTTTAATAGACCAATAAGAAAGAGAGTTCCAAACCGCTCTGCCAATAACAGCTAGTTTATAGTTTTCCCCTCTCCACTCAGACCACTCCCAGACAGTCCTAGCAAAGTTATTTTTTCAGAAATTGTTCTTTGCTAAGAAGCTATTTTTTGTATCTTTTTGACCATTTTAATTGAAACAATCACGGTAAGGCGCTTAATCTTTACTCAGAAATGATTTGATATTGAGATAAAAACGGCTGCATTGGACCTTTAAGATGTTGGTTTCCCGAGCTCGGAGACTGGGGTTCAGATCCCACCTGTGACACTTAGTACTGGTCACCCATTTACTCAATATGATTGTTTACTTGTGCAATTATCACTCAGGGTCTAGAACACTGATTGAGCACTTAAAGTAGTATTGTCCCAATAGTGTAGGATTTGAAAACCCAGGCCTTAATTACTTAATCTTTGGACGTAATGTTTGTTATTTAAATATGAGAACTGGTATAACTTGATTTATTTTAAATCATTATTTATTTATTCAAATTATGAAAGGATGTTTGTTTCTAAGATCTTGTAACAGCGGCTGCAGAGACCCATCATTCACACGTGCTGTGTACTTCAACGTTCTCTAAGGATGCTTCCCAAATGGCACCCTATTCCCTACATAGTGCACTACCTTTGACCAGGGCCCATAGCACTGGTCAAACAGTGCACTATATAGGAATAGGGTGCCATTTGAGAAGCACATTAAGCATCCCTATGGGTAGGATGTACAGTATGTAGACTCTCACAAAAATCAATCTTCGTCATCAAGAATTTATGTGTTATGCTGATCAGATTTGTTCTCATACCTACAGGCAAGGCAATGGAATGGCAACTCATAAACAACCATAAAACCATAACCATGTGTACATATCTAATCAAATACAAAGCTGGTAGTATGCTCCATGGTACAATGCTTCAAACCTACTACTGAGCAAATTGGTGTATCAGTTCTGCTTCACTTTAGCAAGATGTGATACTATTGCTACCTAAAACGAAGTGGTAAAATGCTTAAAATTACAGTGCCTTCTGAAAGTATTCATACCCCTTAACTTTTTCCACATTCTGTTGTGTTTCAGCCTGAATTTAAAATTAATTAAATTGAGATTTTTTTGTCACTGGCCTATACACAATACCCCATAATGCCAAAGTGGAATTATGTTACAAATTAAATAAAAATGAAAAGCTGAAATGTCTTGAGTCAATAAGTATTCAACCCTTTTGTTATGGCAAGCCTAAATACGTTAACAACTCACATAAGTTGCATGGACTCACTCTGTGCAATAAGTGCTTAACATGAATTTGGAATGACTACATCTCTGTACCCCACACATACAATTATCTGTAAGGTCCCTCAGTTGAGCAGTGAATTTCAAACACAGATTCAACCACAAAGACCAGGGAGGTTTTCCAATGCCTCACAAAGAAGGGCACCTATTGGTAGATGGGTACAAATAAAAAAAGCAGACATTCAATATCCCTTTGAGCATGGTGAAGTTATTAATTACACTTTGGATTGTGTATCAACACACCCAGTCACTACAAAGATACAGACGTCCTTCCTAACTCCGTTGCAGAGAGGAAGGAAACCACTCAGGGATTTCACCATGAGGCCAATGGTGACTTTAAAACAGTTCAAATTTAATGGCTGTGATAGGAGAAAAGTGAGGATATGGATCAACAACATGATAGTTACTCCACAATACTAACCTAATTGACAGAGTGAAGAGAAGGAAACTTGTACAGAATACAAATATTCCAAAACATGCATCCTGTTTGCAACAAGGCACTATAGTAATACTGCAAAAAAATGTGGCAAAGCAATTAAGTTTTAGTCCTGAATACAAAGTGTTATGTTTGGGGCAAATCCAATAAAACACATTACTGAGTACCACTCTCCATATTTTCAAGCGTAGTGGTGGCTGTATCATATTATGGGTATGCTCGTAATCCTTAAGGACTGGGGAGTTTTTCAGGATAAAAAATACATGGAATGGAGCTAAGCACAGGCAAAATCCTAGAGGGAAATCTGGTTCAGTCTGCTTTCCAACAGACGCTGGTAGATTAATTCACCTTTCAGCAGGACAATAACATAAAACACAAGGCCAAATCTACACTGGAGTTGCTTATGAAGGAGACACTGAATGTTACTTAGTGACAGTGTTGACTTAAATCTACTTGAAAATCAATGGCAAGACCTGAAAATGGTTGTCTAGCAATGATCATTCAACCAATTTGACAGAGCTTGAAGAATTTTGAAAATCACTGAACAAAAACATAAACGCAACATGTAAAGTGTTGGTCCATGTCACGCCCTGGCTCTAGGGACTCTTTTAAGTTGAGCCAGGGTGTGTAGAGTTTATGTTTTGTGCTCGTTGTGTCTAGTCTAGTTTTGTATATCTATGTTGGCCAGAGTGGTTCTCAATCAGAGGCAACGAATATCAGCTGTTGCTGGTTGTCTCTGATTGGGAACCATATTTAGTCAGGTGGTTTTCCCACAGTGTTTGTGGGATCTTGTTCCGTGTTGGTTTGTGTTTTGCACCTGTGGACGTCACGTATCAATTTGTTGTTTTGTTCGTGTATCATTTAATAAATAAGTATGTTCACCTTCCACGCTGCGCCTTGGTCCTCTATATCCGACGATCGTGACAGAAGATCCCACCAATACAGGACCAAGCAGCGTGCCCAGGCAGGAGAGGAGAAGCGGCGCCAACCGGGCAGTCGTCGGACAGGCGAGGGGCACCCCCAATAAATTTTTAGGGGGGGGCACATGGCAGGGACGACGGGGCCACTGGAGGCAGATAAGGGGCGAGTTGGTGGACGAGGAGAGAAGGCCACCGGGTTACGGGAGCCATTGGTGTATAGAGGGAAGGAAAATGTAGAGGCACGGCGAGAGGTACTGAAGTGTGTTGCCAGTCCGGTCCGGCCCGTTCCTGATCCCTGTGTAAGGCCAGTGGTGTGTGTTCCCAGTACGGTCCGGCCTGTTCCTGTCCATCGCGCCAAGCCTATGGTGCGCGTCGCCAGCCCGGCCCGGCCTGTTCCTGCCCCTCGCACCAAGCCTATGGTGCGCGTCGCCAGCCCGGCCCGGCCTGTTCCTGCTCCCCGCACCAAGCCAATGGTGCGCGTCGCCAGCCCGGCCCGGCCCGTTCCTGCTCCCCGCACCAAACCTGTGGTGCGCATCGCCAGCCCGGCCCGGCCTGTTCCTGCTCCCCGCACCAAGCCAATGGTGCGCGTCGCCAGCCTGGTCCGGCCTGTTCCTGCTCCCCGCACCAAGCCAATGGTGCGCGTCGCCAGCCTGGTCCGGCCTGTTCCTGCTCCCCGCACCAAACCTGTGGTGCGCATCGCCAGCCCGTGCCCGTTTCACCGGTGCCTGGTCAGGTACCGGTCAGCTGCTCCACACTGGAGCCTGAGCAATCCGCTCCACCGAAGTCCAGTCCAGCTCCAGCCAGTGGGGCTAGACCAGACCAGGGGCACTACGGGGGGGTTAGTAGAGGGTGGTGGTCAAGCCCGGAGCCGGAACCGCCTCCGAGGAGGAATGCCCACCCAGCCCTCCCCTGTTCGGTGATGTTTAGGCGCGGTCGCAGTCCGCGCCTTTAGGGGGTGGTACTGTCACGCCCTGGCTCTAGGGACTCTTTTAAGTTGTGTGTAGAGTTTATGTTTTGTGCTCATTGTGTCTAGTCTAGTTTTGTATATCTATGTTGGCCAGAGTGGTTCTCAATCAG